CCCACTCCACTCCCACCCCGGACCAGTTTGCCACTACACACACACGGGGTCGCTGTGAGTCAGAATGGACTCAGTGACAAGTGACCGCAGCACCCACTGTTGGCAGAGGCTGACCCTCACACCCTGTGGGTTGGCAAAATAGAAAATGGAATCTCTTCTGGGAACAGGAATCAATCACTTACCTATTGGTAAGTAAGTTACATGGTTATCATTTGGGTTATTGGTAAATTACATGGGTACAGTTTGGAACCAATGATTTCACAAAATAAAAACATAAGCTGGAGAGGTGTCCGTTGTCTAGGGCAGCTGTAACAGAAGTCCCACAAGGGAGTGGCGTGAACAAACACATCCATGTTCTCGGGGATCAGGGAGTCCGACCCCCAGAGGAAGCTTTACTCTGTAGCCTCTGGAGGAAGGTCCTTGCCCCTTTGGAGCTCCTTGGCGACCTTCAGTTGGCTGGCACCCCTCTCCCCCCAGCTCTGCCCTGCTTCCTTAATCTCTTACATCTCGAAGGAGATGGGCTCAAGGTACACCCTCCACTCGTTGTGTTTGTTAGCATAGCAGAGACAGCCCCTTCCTAAGTGGACTCACATCCACAGGCAGAGAAGTTAGGGTGTACGACACATATATTTTAGAGAGCATAACTCAGTCCGTAGCAGGACATGCCGGGGGCTTCCCAAAAATTCACTGAAAGATTCCATTATCTTTTCGTTTAATATTTCCATGAACTTTTGAAGCCACTTCACGTTTATACATAGCATGTTCATTTAATTATATTTCAATTAGAACAATGCCAGCAGAAACCTAAGATTCTGTTAATGGAGACTAATTTGATTGTGGTTTGGGATACAGTGGGATTATATGCAGCTATTGAAATGCGAGCTGTCTCTGTTTACTGATACAGAGCCATCTTCAAAACACATTTTCAACTCAAAAAAAGCAGGTACGTAAGGTAGCATGTTTAACACATGTGCCACGTGTGCGTGTGTATTCCAGTTGAACGTGCACAGACAATCCCAGAAGAGGGTAGTGAAAACCACGAGATAAGAGATTCAGGGAGTGAGGAAAAAACATTTACCTGAGAATATATTTTATGGTAAAAGGAAAATAAAACACATTATATTTTAAATGGACAAGTGTGGCCTCTCTCTGTACCTGTGATTGCCGTCTCTCCCTGGCCCCCCTCCCAATTCAGGGCGGGGTGAGAGAATGTGGCGTAAATGCCACTGAGGCCCACAAAGCTGTGGCCCTGTGACTTCCTAGTGCCCTTAGGAGACCACAGCTTAGCCCTGAGGGTTCGCTCGCCCTGGCGTGTGGTAGTTTAACTTCCCGAGCAGAGCTCCTCCCTTTCCTGGAAGACTGCCACCTGTTAACTGGTTTCCTCTCTGTCAGAGAAAAAGGCTGGTCTTTATGTAGAAAAAAGATAATTAGAAATCGTCTAAGACAGACAAATGAGTTATTCACCAGTGTAACTGGGTAAGATGAATGCATATATAAAGGAGAATATTAATAAAAGCTAAATTATAGACTTCTGCTTCCAGACGACCAAAAGTGACTGGATTTGAAAAAGAACTGGATAGAATATGCATTGATAAAAATTATAATTACAGAATTTTAAAAGTAAAAGTTTAATTAGTTGTCCATTCAGTGGGGCCCGGAATTTGCAGGCTGGACATCAGCGTGAAGAAATGACCAGGAGCGCAGGCAGCAGTGATGCGGAACGAAAACCGGGGCCCGGGGGCTGACGGTGTGCAGAGAGCGAGAGCATCTGCAAAACCGGTCACGCTCCTGTTTCCGAGCGACAGAGTCAGGGCAGACAGCGGGAGAGATGCAGGCGGAGATCATTCCTGAACTTTTCAAAATCGGAATTTTACAGATGCAGGAAGAAAACACACACCAAGTGAGAAAGATAGGTCGAAATCACCCCTCCACGCGTCATCACGAAAGCACAAACCCCCCAGAGACAAAGAGAAGCGCTTAGCAGTCCCTATGGCGACTGACAGCCGACTGTCCCCACAATCGCAGAGGCAGGGACTGTCGGCCACAGATCATCAGCTGAGAATTCTATGCCCTGTGAAATCATGGGTTTGGGAGCAAAATATAGACATGTTTTGAGATACACAAGCAAAAATTGAGAGTCTCCTCTGCCGACTTAAAATTTTTTTCCTGAGAACATTTTGAAGGATGTACTTTCGTAAGAACAAACGCATGAATAAAAATAGAGTGTGAGATGCAGGAAACTATAGTAACCAAAGGAATTAGTAAACAAAGTAAATGTAAACAGCCATATGAGACAATAACAATGCCAAAAGTCAGTGTAGATAGTGACAGTGTGCATGTGTGCATGTATGTAGGTAGCACACGTGTGTGTCACAGATGTGTGTGTCTATATGATAGGCACCACACATGTTTGTGTATGTGTATGACGATTGTCTGGTGCCCTGAGACAGAGGCAGGAGACGCAAGCGCTGTGGTGGAACTTTCCCTAGATTCTGGTTACCAACACAACACGAGAATGTGGAGAGCGGTGAGAACTGTGGAGTCTACAAACTATCTGTGTTCCCTCTACTCTCATCACAGTTTCCTTTTAACTATTTAAAAGACTTTTAGGAAACAATTGAGGGAATTGTGGTCTGAAGAAGCTGGGAATTTTACATCTTTTTGGGGGGGATGAAGATCATTGTGGACGCCTCAGGAAAGGTCTTTACTCTCAGGCACTGTCCCCCGAAGGGGACAGAAGGCCGTGAAGGTACAGCTTCTTCTGATCTGGACCCCTGTGTACACACAGCAGACGGGGCACGGGGTGGAGTCTAGACGGTGTGCCGGGGATGCTCATTGTTACACTCTCTCTTCTTTTTATCATTTAAATAGTTACTATTTTTAAAAAGCTTATTCTCCTAACCTGGGTTTGGATTTCTCACAGGTAGCCACCACTATGCCAATTTTGTTTTCCAGAACCAGGGGTTCTGTATGCGATGAGAGAAACTACCCAACTCTTTTGGAAGAAAGTGATTGCTTGTAAGGCAAAAGACAGACTTTTTCAGCCTGACTTTCTTAACCACTTAGCAGTTCACACTCACTTACAGAAGAGTCTTACTTCCTGCCCAGGGCTATTGTGGGTGCTCCCTGTGGGTGCTGTCACCAAGTACCATAAACCAGGGGCCTGTAACAACGAAACTGATCTTTCTAGTCAGTCCTGGAGGTCAGAAGTCCTAAGTCAAGGTGTCCCCGGGCCTGGCTCCCTCCGGAGACTGGGGGAGAACCCTGTCTGGCCTCTTTCAGCTGGTGATGGCTCCAGGCACCCCGGCCTGTTTCCGTGGTCCCAGGCTGTACCTCCACCCGCACATGGCCCTTGTCCCTGCGTCTCTGTCTGCTCGCCTGTCTCTTGTAAGGATGCTTGTCGTTGGATTGAGGGACCCCTGGGGTAACCCAGGACGATCTCCTCTTAAGATCCTTGACTCTATTACATTTGTCAAGACCCTTTTGAGAAATAAGGTCGCACCACTCAGCCCATTGCAGGCATATCATATCATGTCCGAGTAACACACCTCCGTTCTCCCCTCGACCCAATTCTGAAACCCACAGGTTTTGAAAGTAGAAAGCTTTCCATACATGATGTAGACTCGGGGACAAAACCTACCCTAGACTGCTGTGAGTCTGTGTCTCGTCTGCTCCCTCTTGATCGGACTCTCCCTGGAGTCGGCTGCAGAGCCGTCAGGGGGGCCCTGCCCCCTCCACCTGCGGGCGCCTTCTGGATCACATACGGCCGTTTGTTCTGATTCCCTTTCTACAATCGGAGAAACCTGGCCTGAGAAGGCAGACTCGGGCTCCACGGACCAGTTTAAACAAGACAACGTGTCCCCCATTCCGGGAAGAACCCGTTGGTCCTCACTCTCTGCCATCAGGTGGATTCCAACTCCTCGTGAGCCTGTAGGCCACAGCAGAACAACTCCTGTGGGTTCCTGAGACTGCTTGTATCAGTCCTGAGACCTATCGGTGTAAAGGGCCTCATCTTTCTCACCGAGCGCTGGTGGTTTCAAACTGCCGACCTTGCAGTTAGCAGCCCAACTCGTGAAGACTATGCCACTGAGGTTCCCTCAGCTGGTCCAGTTCAGGCTTAAATCCTGTGGAAGGGACAGCGATGGAGAAGAGACCCTGAGACAAGCACGCCTCCTCTTGTCACCTGGACACGGGGCCCTGTGAGGACGCTTGCCCTGGGGATGCTCGCCGCTGAGTTCTTTTCTCTGTGCTTCTCACTGGGCTGGGAGGGGAAGCACACGCAGCCTCCCCTCACTGCTGTCGTGCTGATTCCAGCTCCTGGCAGCCCGGGGTTAGAGTAGAACTACTCCTGAGGGCCTTCTGGGCTTCCGTCTATACAGAAAGGATGACTGGTGGCCCAGTGATGAACTGCACAACCGATGACCGAAAGGTCGGAGGTTCGAGCCTACCCCGTGGCGACCTGCCCCTGTGAGGGTGGCAGCCAAGGAAACCCAATAGGTGGGGCAGCTGTCCTCTGCCGGCAGGTTTCCAGGAGCCAGGTCAGCTGGGCAGCCCCCCAACGGTAGCAGCCACGACCTTCATAGAAGCAGGTCACCAGGGCTTGCTTCTGTGGCACCCTGGGCCGCGCCAACCAGCCACGCTTCAGGTTAGCTGCCAGTCACAAACCATCCGTGCCCCTAGAAGCCCCTCCTCAAATGAGACTAAGTGGAAGTCTTTCCCCGCTGACGTGAGCAGACCCCCTATCCCACTGTTCACCTCTCATCCCTCCTCTCATTCCTTCCCGCGCAGAAAAGAGCAGCTATCAAAGCTCATTTCTAGCAGAGAATTTCACTGTGAATGAAACTCATGCAAAAGCCCTCAGGTCCAGATCCTCTTGGGCGCTGGGTGGGGGGCTGGGGGAGGAGAGGTGTCACCGAGCTCGTGGTGGCCCTCCCGGTGGAGCGGGCGTGGGAGCCTGGGCCCCCAGCCGCTGAGCCCCCTCTCCCCTCCTTGTCCTGCAGAGCTGGTCATGCTCCTGGAGTGGTGGTCCGGCACCGAGTGCACCCTGTTCACGGACCAGGCCACCATCGACCAGCTGGGGAAGGAACACGTGGTCATCATCCTCAATCACAACTTTGAGATCGACTTCCTCTGTGGGTGGACAATGTGTGAGCGGTTTGGCGTGCTGGGGGTGAGCAGCTTGCCAGGAGCCCCGGGATGGTGCTGGGGGGCTCCCTGGGCCCCTGGAGTCGCCCGGGTCGGTGTGCAGGGCTGCCTGGAAGGGGGGCCGTGCGGTACCGATCTCTGCTGAGGCACTTGCTGTTCCATTTGTCCCCACAGGCCTTTGCTTCGCATGGCCCCCTCCGTTCCAGGCCCCACAGTACTGCCACGGGCAGCTCAAGCACCCAGGGAGACCAGCCCGTAGCACAGAGTCAGGGAAAAGTCCCTGTGTAGGCAGACTGCCGATGGGCTCGGCGGACCACCGCATCCCCACATCAGCTCGGGAAGCACCGGGGCTGAGCACAGAGCAGGGACCCTGGCGTTCACACACCTTCTGTGCCAGGCTTTTCACTGCATAGATTGGCACACCTCTGCCCTACTGAGCCTCAGTATTCCCCGCTGGGGGATGGGCGTGCACACTCAGGGGTAGCGCTAGCTGAATGACCCCACCTGCAGGAGCCAGGTCTCCTCATTCTCCAAGGAATCCCTTGAAATAGGGAGGCCACACCTGCAGAGGGCACGCCAGCATGCCCTACCCAGGCTCTGCCATCCCCGGGCAGCCTCCCACCTCACCGGCTTCCTCTGTATGGCGATATACAAACAGCTGTCCTGTCCTTCCCTCTCTGCAGAGCTCCAAGGTCCTCGCTAAGAAGGAGCTCCTCTACGTCCCTCTCATTGGCTGGACGTGGTACTTCCTGGAGATCGTGTTCTGTAAACGGAAGTGGGAAGAAGATCGGGAGACCGTTGTGGAAGGGCTGAAATGCTTGTCCGACTACCCCGAGTACATGTGGGTAAGTCATCACAAGGCTCCGGCGCTGCCCCGTCCCAAAGGGAAGGCGAAGACACACACACCACCACCACCACCCACATAGTCCCCCACCCGCGGCTCTGAAAGGATGACTTAGCCCAACTGTTTGAAATGTTAGTACCGGCTGTTAGAGTCTGGTACCTGGGGTTGGTTTCAACTGACTCACAGTGACAGGGGCAGACTGCCGCCCACAGCCAGTCACTTTCATCCCACACAGCACCTTGGGCTCGCCTCGAGATTGGCTCTTGGTTGGTGGCAAACTCAGCACACCCTGCCAGCTCAGTGCTTCTGTCCTCGGGGCCACAGGTGGGGTTCAGCAGGCTTGGACCTGTGTGGCCATCGGCCCCGGCCTGCTGGGGCCCCGGGGATCACCTGCTCCTGTGTCCTGTGCCCTAGTTCCTGCTGTACTGCGAGGGCACGCGCTTCACCGAGACAAAGCACCGTGTCAGCATGGAGGTGGCTGCCGCCAAGGGGCTGCCCCCCCTCAAGTACCACCTGCTGCCTCGAACCAAGGGCTTCACCACCGCAGTGCAGTGCCTCCGGGGGACAGGTAGGCACCCAGGTCGCAGGGCCCAGCTCCTCTTCAGACTCCAAATTCAAGTGGGAACTGGAAAGAGGGATGCGTTCAAAACCGAACCCGCAAAGTCTCTGTCAGTTAGCCGCCAGTATGGAGGTGAAGGGGACGGGACCAGGGGCTCACAGCCGAGCTTGCATCTGCGCCGCCCCCCCTCCGGCGGCCCTGGTCTGCGGCCCAGGCTGTGCAAGGGGGGTGGTGAGACCCCACGTCTCCTGGACGCTTACCAGCCTTTGTCTCCCCAGTCACCGCTGTCTACGATGTCACACTCAATTTCAGAGGGAACAAGACCCCGTCCCTGCTGGGCATCCTGTACGGGAAGAAGTACGAGGCTGACATGTGTGTGAGGTGAGCGCAGGCTGGGGCCAGCGTGTGTGCACATTCATGTGACTGTGTGGAGGAAGTGGGGAGACCGAAACGTGCTACATGCCTCCCCCACCCCCACCCACCCACACAACCCCTTTGTGGATCCCAAGCCCCGGCATCCTGAGTGCGTTCTCGGAGGCTTGGGGAGCAGGATCAGCTGGTCCTACGGGACTCCGGATTGTTGGAACCCAGCCCTAGCTGCCCGTATCTCAGGCTGCCCTGGCCACCTCGTGCCCACCACTGATTCAGGCCCAGCACTGGGCTGCATGCTGTGGACATGGGAGTGACCATTTCCTCTCTGGAGGTCATACAGACCACGGAGGGACAGATGTGAGTGCGCCCTCTGCAGCACAGGGTAGAACCAGCAAATTCCAGAATGTTCCATGCGCTCCTGGAAGGTACTCCCAGGCTGCAGGAGCAGGGCAGTTGGGCAGGAGCCTGAGTCCGGACCATGGTTTCCCAAACAGACAAGGCCAGGAGGACAAGCCGGCGCCCCAGAGGCGCCCCTTCTGTCCTGCACCCTGTCCCCGTGTCCAGCTGCAGGGTTAGACTGCATGCGGGCCTGCAGGCTTCTGTCCCAGCTAGCACCCCCAGCGACTCCACAGCAGCCCCAGATTTGGGGCCTGCCCTGTGTAGACGAAGCCTTGACTCTGGCTGGTGAGGGGCAGAGCCATGCAGGCGGGGGCCACAGGGACACCAGGGTCCTCAAGAAGTCAGACTAAGCCAGACTAGAGTCTTCGGGACCCAGAAAGTGTGCTTCGTGACTAGTACAGTGAGCAGTGAGGGGATGCATACTGTCACCCAGCCAGAGGCCAGAGTGGGGGCAGCTGGGGCATCCATCCAGGAGACCCCGGCTGGCTCTCCAGAGACACACTCATCAGCAAACAGATGTGCTCGTCCGAAGCCCTGTCCTGGGTTGCTGAGTGAAGTGGGTCCTCAGCAGGACCTGGCAGAACACCCAGAAGAGCGACCGAGGGGAAGCTGAAGGGTCCAGTTCTCCGACCCTTTCCTTCAGGGTGGTGGTCAGGCTGGCATGCACAGGTCATCTCCCACCCTGAGCGCCCCTCCACTCCCAAACGCTCTCGGCGAGGACACTGTGGGAACCATGAGGTTGCCTGGTGGAGGTCTCCACCAGCCCTCTGGGGATGCACAGCGCCCGGCTTTCACAGAGACAGGGCGCCGTGGGCTGCTCTCACAGGTTGGTCCATCTTCAAGGCAGATTGTCCCTCTGCGTGCGTGACCCACCAGGAGCCATCCGCCGGTCTAGTTCCGACATTTCAGTCTGACTCCTGCTGTCTTCCAGCTTCAGCCCCAGCCCCTGCAACCCACTGACGTCCGAGGCAGCCCCCAGTGTGAGAGCCTCCAGTGAAGGGCCCCCAACCGAGTTCTTTGGCCAGTGCCTCACTCTAGGATGTCCCCAGAGATAAGCCTGTGACCCTGAATAAGTAATAAGCTGGAGGATCTCCCCTACCCTACCCCCCACCCCCACTCCAGAAGTCTATGTCGGACGGGCAGGTAGCACACCTCGCATGGCTCAGTCCATCCTGGAGTGAGGCGGGTGACAGGAGCTCAAAGACCACAGCCCCGCGGGGGTGGACACCCACTGAGAAGGTGACTGACTGGGGCCCTTGGGTGGTCAGGATGGCAGTGTGGTGAAGGCCAGGTCAGCATCTCAGTTGGCTGTGCCTCAGAGTTGCACTGTGGCGGGTTTGTGCTGTACCGTGTGGTGTGGCATGAGGTGTCCTATGTGGTATGACGTAGAACCGTTTCAGCAGCAAGAGGTTCTGGGTCCACGCTAGCACATGTTTACTTATTAAAATGCCACTTCCTGTCTTGACTCAGTGGAGTTTCCCACGCGGTGACCCCATGTCCCCAACCCTACTAGAAAGCGTGCCTCCGCATCTCCTTGTTCTAAGTTCTGTAGGGATGTATGCCATCGAGTCGATACAGCGAGCCTATGGGACAGGATAGAACTGCCCCTGTGGGTTTCCGAGACCAGAACTCTTTATGGGAGTAGAAAGCCTCCTCCTTTCTCCTGCTTGTAAGTTCTAACACCATAGCTGTTGCTTAAGGTAGCATACATACACCAGAGCTCTCGGGGCCCTCCATTCCCAAAGGCCGAGGGAAAAAAGGAAAACAGTGTGAGACTTGGTGTCTTTGAACTTGGGGCTGTACCTGCAGCATGGACCGTCTGCAAGGCTCCTCTTTCAAGAGGAAGCAGCCAGGCCCCCTGTGATGACAAGGCTGATGGTGGGGCGGGGGCCCTCAACATTGTTTATGCTCACTAATTGCTCAAGTCCCAGTTTGCGCCCCAACCCCCCATTTAAGGCACTCTGGCTGCCCATGAAAAGCAGGTTCTCACCCTACTCGGAAGCCAGTGGTGAGCTGCAGCCCCTGCTGCATTTCCTAAGAGCCTGTGGGTGCTACTAAGCGCTCACTCCTCACGGTGCAGCAGGAGGCGGGGTCTGTCTGCTGCACAGGGCTGCACACAGGGGTCCTGGCCATGCTCCTGCTGTTCCCGTGCACACAGGGGTCTCTTGTTCTGCCCTTTGGGGCTCCTGGCAGGGCCCAGCAGAGAGCACCTATGAATGAATACCTGTGATTTCTATTGGTTTTCAGAAACCAAGAGTAAGGTTGAAACCAGAAAAGCACTCACCCCAATGCCTAGTCATTGATTTTCCGCTCTTTCAGTTTGATTGTCGTTGTAGTTAGGAGCTATCAAGTCAGCTCCGACCCATAGCAACCCTATGCAGAACGACAGGAGGAAACACTGCCCGGTCCTGCACCAGCCTCACGATTGAGCCGATGCAGCCACTGTGCCCGTCCATCTCCTTGAGGGCCTTCCTGCTTTTCACCACCCTTCCACTTTACCAAACACGACATCCTTCTCCAGGGACTGAGTCTCCTGACAGTATGTCCCAAGTGTGCAAGAGGAGGTTTTGCCATCCTTGCCTCTAAGGAGCACCCTGGCCTTGCTTCTTCCAAGTAATCAGTTTGTCTCTAGCAGTCCGTGGTCTCTTCAGTACTCTTTAGTTGGGTACCGTCTGGTATTCACCTTCTGGTTACCTGTCTGTCATCTCAATCGGACAGGAGGTTTCCTGTGGAAGACATCCCGCTGGATGAGAAGGAAGCCACGCAGTGGCTGCATAAACTGTACCAGGAGAAGGTAAGCCCCCAGCAGGGCCTTGGGGCTGGGAGGGGCCGCTGGGAGGGCGGGCTGCAGGGGGAGCCAGGGGCTGGGGGACTCCCCGTGGTGAGAGAAGTATGCTGCAGGGCTCCCGCACTTCTCACTTTTCTGAATTTTCGCTTTGAGAAATGCTGGCTCAAAGAAACCCTGTAAGAGAAGGTGAGGCTGCCCCTGTGAGTTTCCGAGACTGTGATGGGAACAGAACCCCCACCCCCTCTCTCTCCCATGGAGCTGCTGCTGCTGCTGGTTTCAAACTGTCAACCAGGAGATTTGCATAACGACAGCTCCACTGGGGCACAATGTGTTAGATTGAACCGGATGGTAGTGGGTTTGGTTTAGGTCGGTTTTTGAGAAATTATCGTAGTAGGGGCAAATGTAAAAGAAAACATAACACTTAGATAACTGGTCAAGAATCCCACATTGTGTAGTGGTTATGTGTTGGGCTTCGATCCACATGGTGGGCAGTTCGAAACCACCAGCAGCTCCTCGGGAGAAAGACTGGGCTTACTACTCCCGTAAACAGTTGCAGTCTCAGAAAGATACAGGGGGCGCTCTGAGTCCGCACCGATTCAATGGCAGTGAGCTTGGTTTGATAATAAAGCCTCGTGGTTTTTTTCTTTCTTTCTTTTTTAACTTACATATAAAATAAACTGTGTGTGTGTGTGTGTGTGTGTGTGTGTGTGTGTGTATGTATATAAAGTGCCATTGAGTCAATTCTGACTCACAATGTTGAAGAGGACAGAGTAGATGTACTCTCTTGGTTTTCCACAAATATCTACAGGAGGAAAGAGCCTCATCTTTCTCCCAAGGAGCAGCTGGGGGAATCGAACTGCTGATCTTGCCGTTAGCAGCCCAACTTGTAACCCACTCTGACTCCCCTGTAGATATACAATGGGTGTTATGTTATTGATTGATAATAGACATATAATAGAAACAACTGATTTAACTATACCTATAGCCACGCCATAACAGCCAGGAGATTAAAATTTGGCCACACAACTGGGAGCCAAAGCGTAGACAAGTTGACACCTCAAATTCACCGTCATACCATGCCTCCCCTGACACCCACTTACACTCTGCTTCATGCACACAAACACATGGAGCCTTTTGGTGATGAGTCGATTCTAACTCGGAGGACAACCACCTTCAGATTTCCAAGCCTGTCACCCTTAGAGACGCAGACCCCTCAGATTTCTCAGACATCTGAGAGGGCCTTAGCTCTTCCTGTCAGCGCGGTGCAGGAGAAGTCACCAAAGTCCTCCCGGCACAAAGCACCCAGAAGCCAAAGCCTCGACTTTTAATGTTTATGTGGGCACAGAAGGGTCTGGTTCCTTCGTGCGAGGGAGGGAGTTTAAACTGAAAACTGAGGACCTGATGCCAGGGGCTTAAGTGGAGAGGAAATGTTTTGAGAATGATGAGGGCAATGAATGTACAAATGCGTTTTACACAATTGATGTGTGTATGGATTGTGATAAGAGTTGTATGAGCCCCTAATAAAACGATTAAAAAAAAGTGGAGGAAAGGTTGAAGTTGTCAAGGACCTTGTCTTGCTTGGATCCACAATCAATACTCATGGAAGTAGCAATCAAGACATCAAAACACGTATTGCAGTTGGTAAATCTGCTGCATAAAACCCTCTTAGCATATTGAAAAGCCAGGATGTTACTTTGAGGACTAAGGTGCACCCTGACCCAAGCTGTGCTATTTTCCATCACCTCCCGTGCATGTGAAAGTTGGACCTTGAATAAGGAAGACGGAAGCAGAATTGATGCACTTGAGTTGTGGTGCTAGAGAAGAATGTTGAGAGTACCGCGGACTGCCAAAAAGACAAAGGGACCTCTCTTGAAAGAAATATGGTCAGTGTGCGCCTTAGCAGCACGGATGGTAAGACTCACATACTTTGAACATGTTGTCGGGAGAGACCAGTCCCTAGAGAAGGACATCATGTTTGGTAAAGTAGAGGAGCAGAGAAGGAGAGGAAGACCCTTAAGGAGATGGATTGACACCGTGGCTGCACCAACGGGCTGGGCATAGCATTTACGTGGATGGCATTGGACTGGGCAGGGCTTGGTTCTGTTGTACATGGGGGTGCTGTGAGTCAGAGCCGACTGGACGGACCTAACAACAACAGCCGGTCACCCAGTCTCACCTACCAAGTACTCCTGAAAGGGCTCAGTGTGCCTCTTCAAAGTCTCCCATTCTATGATTTCAGCCCATAATTTTTCCCATTCTGGTTACCATGTGTGCTAGTCTGGGATGACTATAGAAACAAATTCATAGACACTTAGATGTGTATGAGAAAGAGCTTTATATATAAGAGCAGATGAATATTGAGAAAACATACCAGCCCAGTCCAGATCAAGTCCATAAGTCCAATGTTAGCCCATATGTCCGATCCCAGTCTATAAAGGCCTCTTCAGACTCACGAAACACATGCAATGATGCCACATGCAGGGAGATCACAGGCCCATGGGTGGTAAGTCTTGTGGATCCAGTGGCGTTGTAAGCATCTCAGTGCTGACAGGGGTCTCCACGTGACTTCTCTAGCTCCAGAGGTCTGACTTCATCAGCCTCTCTCCACATGTCTTCTCCACAGGGCACGAGCATGTGTCCCACCTCCAGAGAGCTGTTTATCTTCTTAGTGCCTCCAAATGAGGTCATCACGTTACTACCTGATTAACAGGCTAGCCTCCACCCCTTCACTCTGAATCCTCAAATTGACACAAGATTATGTAACTACCACACCATGCTAAATCACCCATATCATAAAAATTCAGGTCTGGTCCTGTTTCAATTCTTTGGCCATGACAGAACCAATTTGAAGCCGTGTATGTCAGGGCCAGTCAGAGTTGTGTCTAAGACCTATGCTTGTGACCTGAGGCCTACCTGTAATTCTCAGAGGCCTTCCCTCGGGGACTGCTTTAGGCTTTGAGTTTATCTATACTCACAGCACAGTCCAAGGAGCGCAAAGCCAAAACATCATTTACAAAGTGAGCCTGGGCCAGTGATCGCTCCAGAGCAGTGGTTCTCAACCTTCCTCATGCTGCCACCCTTGAATGCAGTTCCTCATGTGGTGGTCACCCCCCCCCCACCATAACATTGCTTTCGTTGCTACTTCATACCTGTAATTTTGCCACTGTTATGAATTGGGCGACCCTTGTGAAAGGGGTCGCGACCCACCGGTTGAGAACTGCTCTAGAGTTTCTAAGACACGCAAATGCAAACCCAAAGGAAAGTGACTCCTCACCTGTGCCGCCCAAGATTCCCACGGAGAAAGCTGTGGACGGTGAGCCTATCACCAAAACCCCAAACCTGCGGGAGAGGCAGAATTGTGGGTCCAGGGCGACAGGCAGAACATGCTCCCCAGGAGCATCAGCAGAGAGAGCCATCGGTGGAGATGGCAACAGGTAAATTTAAGGTGACCAAGCACAAGGAGTTCAAAACAAGAGGACCAGGCCTATGACGGGGTGGAACAGAGTTAAGAAAACCAAGCAGTAGTCCTTGCCACCACGTCACTGGTCGGAAACTGCATCTGACAAAGAGCCACATCTGCGGAGAGAATTCCCAAACTGGAAAACCCCAGTTGATCTGAGGAATTCCGAGAGAGCCCAGGACAGGAAGGTTTACAAGCATAGGATTCAGTTGTGTCTGCCATGTGCTTCCTCAAGCAGCCCGGGCCTGGAACTCTGCTGGTGACCGGGCTCTGGCAGCCCCATTGCTCAGCAATGACCATGGCCGGCTCTGACCCCCTTCCTCAGGTAGCTCTCTTCTCTCTCCTCATCCCAATCCTGCGGCTAGTTACCATCAAGAGCCTCGTCTAACGAACAGTGATGCCAAGGGCCCTCACTCACTCATTCATAACTGCTGGGCGGACCCCACGAGCTCAGTCACCAAGGGCCTGGAGAAGGCTGTACAGTTGGGAGAACAGCCTGGGAAGCCTGCCGAGCGCCACAGCTGGCTGGGGGTGACACCAGTACCTGGACCCAAGCCCTTGGACGCCCAGCCAGTCATGGCCGCCAGGTGTCATGTTGCCCGTCACTTCGGAGGACTAGCGGAAGACTAGTGCGACACGGCTCTCCCTGCCCGTCCTGGTGCTTGGAGGCTCCTGTTGCGTCCTGAGCATGGTCTTTGGGTGTGCGGCCCTTCTCCCTTGAGTGGTGGTTTGCTCAGGGGAGCTGCTGCATCAAGGGAGCTGTGTTCTTGTAAGCTTCCGATGCCTCCCCACGCTTCTCCAAGCTTGATCTAACTTGATTTGTCCACTTTTTAAAAAATACCACGTGGCTTAATTTTCAGGTTAAAACTCATCATCACTGATAACCATTTTATCTTGTGCTGAAAGAATGATATGTCAAGAAAACTCACTCCCTCCTCCACCTTTTTTTTTTTTTTTTACTCTCCAGGATGCTTTACAGGAGCAATATAATCAGAAAGGTGTATTTCCAGGGCAACAGTTTAAACCTGCCAGAAGGCCGTGGACCCTCCTGAACTTCCTCTTCTGGGCCACCGTTCTCCTGTCTCCTCTTTTCAGCTTTGTCTTGGGTGTCTTCGCAAGTGGATCCCCCCTTCTGATCCTTACGTTTTTGGGGTTCGTTGGAGCAGGTAATGAATGTGAAAGCAAACAGTAGTTCACAGTTTGGGCAGTGGGGTGCAGTGGGGGTTCTTACCATGGAACAGCCACCATGCCCGGGACTTAACCACCTGTCGTGGTTATCATTGCCGCGTGTGCGTGCATGTGTGCGTGTGCGTGTGTGTGTGTGTGTGTGTGTGTGTGTGTTCTCGATTCCAACTCCTGGGAACTGTCTGTTTGTCCAGGTGGAATTACGCCCCAGAGAGAGTGTCTCCTTCTGAGGTGTCTCCTGGTGGGTTCAAACTGTCCACTTTTCAGTCAGAAGCCAAGTGCTGAACTGTTTGTGCCACCCAGGGCCTTGGGTCACTCTGTGACTGGGTGCTTTGGGCTGATGGCGGGGCGACAAGGGACCTTGTCAAGGCAGCAGAGCCCACAAGAGTCCAGAGTTCCACCTGAGTCATCCAGACCGGCGTTCAGGATCTTGCCACTAAGCTACAAGCCTTAAAACGTTAGAGGCCACAGCCGGGCCCAGGGCAAGTCTGCAGAAAGACAGCCGACCGTCTCGGCTCTCTGCACCAAAGCCGGTCAACAGCTTGTGAGGACTCGCTGGAAGGGCCCTGGTCCCTCTGTCTGTGTTTCGGTTTGGAGTGATGGCTCGGCAGGTTTCCCCAGGTGGTCGCCCAGCCCTACAGCTCTCTCCCGGCCCTTGGAGCCGTGGGACTCACCCAATGGTTTTGAATGAATGAATGAGGGCCCACGCTGCTGTGGTGCTGAGTCCTGCACACCCCATCTTAGACCTTGTCCACTGATGGGTAGTCCCTGTTGACCGAGAGTTTACTCGATGGCTCCATTCCTTCCAGTTGTCTCCCTTCCTCTAGCGTTCTCCCTGCCAGAGCATGGTGGGAAGTGGGGAGAGGCCAATGGCTACCACCATCCTCTCACATTAGACCGTAGGTTGATTTGGGGCTACCCTGGTCCCCTCCTACTTGCATTCATTGCCTGGGCAGGACAGGCCCAAGTCTGTCCTCCAGTCTCATCTCCAGTTGGTATCTGCCAAGGCCCCTGGGTGAGCCCCATGAAGAATAGGATGGAAGGGGCAGTTAGATGCTGTCTGAGGGGCCTGCTCTTCACCAGTGGGGGCTGTGGAGAGCAAAGGCTCCAGGGAAGAGAGGGCCAGGCCGACCCCTCACAAAAACACCTCCCCCTGGAGTCTAGGCTGGAGGGAGGGGGATCTTGAGAGCTTCCTTACAGCTCATTGGCAACTCAAGTCAGCTAACTTTGCGCTCTCTCTTGTGTCTCTCTTCCTTCAAGCATCCTTTGGAGTCCGGAGACTGATAGGAGTGACTGAGATAGAGAAAGGCTCCAACTACGGAAACCAAGAATTTAAGAAAAAGGAATAATTGATGACTACGATCGAACACGCATAACTGATGGTGGTATCCAATTAACTCAATTAAAAACAGAACAACACACAGAGCAAGAGAAAAGAGAGAGAGAGGGAGAGAGAGACTTAGAAACTATTTTTCTTATTAACTGGTGACTAATATTGACAAATAAAACTTGAGCCAAGAGTGAAGCGCCCAGAGGGACAGACAGAGAGGCAGGCCTGCCTGCTGGGGCGGCCTGAGTGGCCCCTGGGACTGAGGCGGGCTGCTAGGAGGGGGGGTGGCGGTGGCCTGCTTGGGGGAGGTAGTCCCAAGCATCAGTCTTCTGTGGAGGTTCGACTTTCAAGAACTCTGTTTGCGAGAGGGGGCTCTGGATGCTTCCTCTTCTTAAACTTAGATCTAGTTTTCGGTTTTTATCCCTTCAGGACTCACCCTCTCCCCTCCTCTGCCCGCACCCTCCACCCCACCCCCAAACTGTCTCTCAATGAATTTTCTGCTGTCCTCTCAGGGACAGAGTCTAGTGGGACCCAGAGCCCCACAGGTGCGTCCTGTGCTGTTGGCGGTGGGCGGTGGGGGGTGGGGGCCCTCTTAGTGATAAGCACATACGAATGTAAATTGGAGGGACTCCAATTGATCAAACCCAATTTAACCTTCCCACCCTGCCCTGGGGCTCAGCAGACAGCTGGGCCCTGTCTGCCTTCCATCACTGCCCCATTCCGTGCCTCTCCTCGCTGCTGTAAACCCCTGATTCTGTTTTCAAACCAAGAAGCTGGGCCGGCTCCCCCCTGTCCCCCCCCCCATCTCTTCCCAACTGTGATGTGCAGGCCCTTGGTCCCCCTGCACTGGGTCCTGAGGAAGCCACGCTGGGCCAGACAGGGTGACCTAGAAGAGCTGCATGCCAGGGCGGGGCAGGTAAGCACCTGCACAGACATCCTCCAGCCCTGTCCTGGCCCACAGGCCCTGGCCTCAGCGGGACTCTGCAGAAGGCTTCTAAGAAGCAGTGAGAGAAGAGACTGTCCAGGCTGGCTCACAGAGACGTCTTTTTGCTCCTGGGTGAGGTGCCGGCCACCCGTGGCTGCCCTGTGCAGATTAGCAGCTCTGAGCAGTCTCCCTCCCTCAACCCCGTCCTCTGTCCCCGCTGGAGATGTTACTGGACGTCCTGCCAGGGACGGGGGTGGCCATGCCCAGCATCCAAGGGCCACATGTGTTCTTTGTGCTGCTTGCTTGTACCCACCCTGTGGTCTCTGGGGGGCTTCCTTCCAAAGCACCAGGGAAAAGGGGGGCTGCGCGGGGCTCCCACACACCCGGAATGTGCGCTTTGTAGGGTGGGGAGCTGCGAGGTGCAGCTCAGCCGAAGGGAAGCGTGTCTAAGGCCCTCACAGTCTCCCTGCCCCTCAGCTGGGCTCCGCTCACTCCAGCACTGTCCCCACCCACGTTCACCTTGTTTTCTCTGAACCTTCCCCGTGCTGCTGTTTTTAAGTCACACACTGGCCCTGTCTAGCGAGGGACGCAAAGACTGGGCGCTCTCTCTGACGTAGCCCAGCCAGCCAGGGGATGCAAAACGCGGAAAACAGAGGCCTGGGGGAAATTTGAAACTAAATTGAAAAAGACAAAGCATCTGTGCCCCGGCCCCTGCAACTTGGTAGAGGAAGTTGGGGAACCCGGGCAGAGGGCTGTCACCGATGCTCGCCCCCTCCCGGAGGTGAATGAGCAGTCTTCTCCATGGGACCACAGCCAAAGCAGGGCCCATCGAAGCCGAGCTCCACCACAACGCTACTTCACAAGCCCACCCTCTGGCTTACGTCCAACCTCCCAGCCCCGCAGCCCCCCACCCCACCTCACCGCAAGGCAGCGGCATAGCCACCATCGCCGCAGACCCCTTCCAGAAGGGCCTTCCGTCTGGACACTTGTCCAGTGTGTTTTCCCATCCCTGCCGCTAGCTGATTCTCACCTACCGAGCTGTTGTAAAGGGGACATGTTGAAAAGTACTGCTACATGGAGGGTGTTGCTTAGGTCTTTTGCCCATCGAATTTGAACAGTTTTTGTTTCCCCGGATGCTGTCCCACCCCCACCAAAAGGAATAATAGATCATGTGTGACCCCATGTGAAGTCCGTGAACAAGGGTTCCACGGGTGGAAGTGGCAGTTGAGACAATCGACAATCTCGCGACTCCTCTGATCTAATGCAGCTTCGCGTGTGCATCTGAATAGCAAGCCCTTTGAGAGCAATAAAAACAAAACCTTGAACGCTTGGGGTTTTTTTTTGGAGGGGGGTGGCCTTTGCTTTCCACCCACCCTTTCATCCTGGAAGGAGAGGGGGACAGCCCCTTTCAGACGGAATTAACCCGCCCAAGGAGATGCTTCCTCCACTCCCTTCCCCTCCCGCCCTGGCCGGCCAGCTCAGTCAGCCTGTCAGGTTCAGACTGAGTGTCCAGCGCAGCAGCAGGGCAGCCCTGGGAAAGCCTGTGCTGGTCTCAGATGAAGTGCAGGGGGGCGCTGGGGGCATTTGAGGCCTGGTGGTTGGTACCCTCCACACCGGTCTCCAGGAACAGGTGGGGTTTGGGAGGGTGCTGGCTGACGCTGCATTTCCTGGGAGTCCGCATTGAGCCCTAGACTGAGACCCGAGCCTGGATGGGGGCAGTCTCCCAATGGCCACTGGCAGGCTCGCCTCCCTGTTCAGGCTCAGGCCAGCCCCAGGCAGGGTGTCAGGTGTGTGGGTCTCCCACTGATTTGTCCACAGACTCTTCCCACTTCTTCGTTGTCCCTCTGCCCATCCCTTCCTGATTCTGCCCTGACCGTGCCCCAGTGAGCTTTCTTGGCCCTGTGACCACCCCCTGGACTTCTTTTGGCCCCTTTTGGGAACCCACGGGACTTCTAAGATGCTTGTGGCACTCGCGGTGCCCTGTGGGGGTGGCCAACAGCAGGCAGGGATATTCTTAGATGTCGCTCTGGGGCCGTTTCCTATTTGCATGGACTGTCCTCAGGGCACCCGGGGAAAGCGGGGCCAGGGGCAGGGTCTTATTCTCTCCCTCGGTCCTCTATGGACATGTGTTGTGAATAGCCTGGCGCTTGGCGGCGGCTACTGGCTTCACAGCCCAAGGGAGCTGCTTTAAGGTCCTGCACTTGTGGCGGAAGGGGTGAGCTGTGAACATGAAAACCACCAGCTACAAGGTGTTTACTTCCTTGTAGCCAAAACAATGCAGGCAGTATCCTGGATGGTCTTTGAACCTTCCCCCTTCTCTGCCCCACCTCTCCCTCCTGTGTGCCTCCCCACACGCACTCCACAGAGGTAATGAATGTAGAGAAGATGCTGGTGCAGGCCCGGCTGCACACGTACACAGCACACACACGTGCACACACACACACACACCAGTGATATCACAAGGCTGCCTGAGCCTGTCTTGATGACCCATCCAAGTCCAATTTGGGGTGAAGCATCCGTAACTCTCTGCATGTTGCTTCCTTTCGCCTGTAACGATTACAAGACAAGCTTGGTGGAACCAGCCCCGCCGACTTCCATCCAAATTGCCCCAGCCCTTGCATAATAAACTCATGCGGTGAGTTCCCGGGCTATGGCTGCAGCCCCTGGCATGCGACTACTTGTGTTGAATGGTGACGTGGCTTCTAACTTCTGCCTTCTTTCCGGAAAAAGCATGCTCCCGGCCCAGGTGCCCGCCCCCTCCCTCCTTGGTCCCTCTCTCCAGTGAGCTAACCCCCAAACCAAATGCCCCCCCTCCCCAGGCCCGGGGCTGGGGCCCAGCCCCTGCACCACGCTCGCTCACTCGCTGGGATGGCAACTTGGTCCAGTCACCCTGCAGTGGGACCCCTGAGTGGACTTGGTCATCCAAGTTCTCTAGTCTTGCACAATGGGGCCAGGTTGCCCCACCCCCCAAAAAAAGGAGACCGTTTGGGGACAAAAGACACCCTGATTGTCATCTGCTGGATTGGTGGTGTGGACACACAGAGACGAAGGTCTGCAACAAGCTTCTGCTGCTGCTTTCCCGCAGTGAGCAGCGTCCTCACACACACTCAGGAAAGGCGCACCGAGAGCACTTTTATGGAGGCTGGAAACGTCCAGAGAGGTCACTGCAGACAGCGCGGGCAGCAGCGCTTACACCCCAGACGGCTGAATCGCTTTCCAACGTTAAGCTTTGTAACGACAAATTCACCTGGGGCTTTCTTTCCTCATAAAACTTCTCAGTTTCTGAGAGAGAGAGAGGAGAGAGAAAAAAAACTTTGTGTGCGTTGTCGTTGTTATTGTCGCAAAAGCATTTGGACGGAAGCCGAACTGTGAATGAGAGACTGAAATGCACTAACTTGTATTACATTAAACTGGACTTACTTGATGCCATGGGGAAACGCACCTGATCTACTTGTATTTATTGTCTCTGAATCCTAAGTCGTGACAATCAGACGTTACTTGCCTACCGGCCCGGGAAATCACTTGGCCTCCTCGGTCACCGTGATCGCCAGCAAGTGCTGTGACTGCCATCAAGGGATGCTCCTCTCTGGAAGATGGCACCGCCACATCC